CAAAAGTATAGTATTATAGAGATAATATCTTTCCTTTATACTAGTATTCTCTTAAAGTTGAAATAGGATATAACGGGTTTAGTATCGCGATAGGGAACGTCGCTTATAGAAGTCTATTAAAACTAGAGATATATAAATATAATCTTCCCGATCTCTAATAATCTCGAAACGCTACTCTAAGATTTGATTTCTTTATATCTCCTCTAATCTACGAGTTTATACTTTTAAATATAGATCGTATTAATTATAATTATATAACGACTTCTTTATCTATTAAATCTTTCCGAAAACACTACTTATCGGATACTTAACTATTACTATTTCTTAATAGTTATATTAAGCTTAGCGATCGGTACTATTAAAATAATAAATAGGCGCGATAAAGATAATCTGACTTTTTTTATAGATAATAGATACTTTCTCTCCTATAGAAAGGCTCTCGCTATAGGAGATTCGGCTTCTCTCCTATTAACGGAAGTACTTTTATATATTATATTATATTACGCTCTAGATTCTATAACGGAGATAATAGTCTATTAGCGATTAAGTTCCTTTATTTATTTCGTATATTATTATATCGATCCGATATAAGCTTTTACGGTTAGATAGATCTATATCTTCTACTATTTTACGATAATTCCTCTAGATATTATCGCCGCCGTTAAAATAATAAAAGCCTTTCTTCTATCTATTAATATTATAATTTAGCTTAATATCTTTATAGTTATACTATCTATAATATTTCTCTCTAGAATTATATATTTTATCTAGATTTCCGCTCTATTAGAACTAATTAATCTAATTATTATCGTAGAACTTAGGTTCGTTATCGTATCGTATCTTTTAGTACGAATTAAATATTAACTCTAATATAGACTTCTCGCGATATCTCTAGCTAGTAAAAAGGACCTTCTACTAGAGTATAGACTATTCGAATATTAGTAAAGACTAGATATATTTAATAGTAGTCTTTTTAGCGCGGCCGGTACTTTATTTTTCTCCGGTACTAGTTCTAGCGGACTCGATATACTTAGTCTTAATACGCGAGAATTATAGTCGACCTTAAATAGAGTCTAGTTAGGCTCTCGAACCTTAATTTGGACTCTAATAATACTACGTATCTTTAATATTATCGCTACTAGAATTAAAGTCCTATTTACTAATTTTCGACTACTTAATAACTTTTCGGACTATAAAGTAAGCGTATTCTCTATTAGAATTTCGATAGGAAGTCGTAATACTTCTTCTATTATATTAGCGTTATTACGAGTATATAGCGTATCTATATAGCTATCGATAATCCTTTCAGCTACTTTTAGAGCGTCTAGAGCTATATAAGCGCTTACTACTATTAGGTAAGCGCCGCGTCTATTTACCTTACGAGATAGTAATAGACGGCCCTTAGTCTCTCTCGGAATTACTACTTTCTCGGCACTTCTTAGATATATAGTACTCTCGGAATTTTCCGAACTACTTCTAGTCTATACGATAGATTCTAGCGGGATTCCGATACTATTTATTTATTTAACTATATTTATCGCCTATATTAGATTCTGAAGAGAGCTTCGGAAGTAGAGACGGAGTATATTAGATATTAATTATAGATACTTTACGGGCCTACTAGGGTCGTATTTTAGTATTATTTTCACCTTCGTAGTAGTACTTTACTAGATATAGACCGAGTTCGGGCTAATAGGATACCCGGAGGTACTATTAGTAGAAATAATTAGTATCTCCTTTATATTCTATCTCTATATTCCGGTTTTACTAAGTCTTTATACTACTTATAAAGTGTAATATCGAACGCGATAGAGAACGAGTACTAAAATAGATTTTATATTTTAGTAATAGGATAGAGTTAGATTAATACTAAAGATATATTTTTAACTATCCTTTCGCGAAAAATCTATTTAGATCGTTAGGTATCTCCGACTTATAAAGACTAAGTCCTAATTTTAGTTATTTTATAAACTTAACTTATAGCGATAACGAGAGTAGCTTAATATTTGATAATATTAACGTAGTTAGGTAAATTCGGAGCTTATATACTCCTCTTCTCGGGAGATATCGAGGAGATTAGTCTAATACTCTAACTCCTTCTCTAATATAATAGCGCTTCTAGCTATTTTTAATATCTAGTTCTTTTTTATACTCTTAGTCTTAAGTAGATAGTCTCTCTCTAATCCTAGTATATATATACTATTTAATCAATTCGTCTAAGACTACTAGAAAGATAATAATTAGAAAGAGGCGAGTAGTTAGACTAGCGATAGCGCGTCTAACCTTATAGTTAATTACCTTACCTTTCTAGATTATAACGGCTATCGTAATAAAGTCGACGATATCTTTATTAAGATTATCTTACGTTTATTAAATCACTAGATACTTCTTTAATACCTTATATAAGACTATAACGATTTCGAGTGGACTACCTTTTACCTCCTTAAGATCCTCCGATATATATACTAGTACGAAGAGAGATATCTTAAGTTAAACGTTATTAATCGCCTTTCTATCCTTCGGAAACGATTCGTATTTCGCGCCGTCTTTCTCTATAACGTAATAAAAGATTCTTAGAGTCTAGAACTTTATAGTGGAGGTACGGAATAGAAAGTTCGGACGCGAAGATATTCCTTATAGTCTTTACTTAACTTTAAGGGAATATATAAGAATAATATTACTAATTATCTCTATAACTCTAATAACGTCTAGATATATAATATATCTTCCGGCTAATCTTAATCTTATGAAATAATAGAAGTAAGCCTATACTATTTATAATTCTTTTTAAAGCTAATTCGGTCGGTCTTTAGTTAATTACGAGATAAATTCGAATACTTTAACTTTACGGATATAGATCTTATATATAGAGCGAATAAAGGTATTCGATAGATAGAGTAAGTATAGCTACTTATAAATGAATCTCTATATATAGATAGATAGCGGCTTTAATTTACATAAAATACTTCTAGCGAATATCCTAAACTACTCTATAACGCGAGTATTAAGACTCTCTATATATATAACTAGATTACTAGTATACGCGCTTTACGATACTTATCTCTAGCTATCGGCGACTTAAATCCTATTAAGATAGGTTATTACGCTATATATAACTTAATCGGCTTAATCTATAATAGTAGACTAGGATCGAACGGTATCCTTAAGGATATCTACGACCGGTTCGGTAATTATACTTAAGATATATAAATTTTTAAGGATCTATCGTTTCTCGATATCAAAAACTACTATAAGCTAATCGAATAGTCGAATAAGGAGATCTAGATATCCTATCGTAAATATTACTCGAGTTACCGCTTATAGATTAATAGAAATATAGCCGCTATATACGTAATAATTAACTAATTAGGAAAGTTTAGTAGTTATTAGGGACTAAATTCTTTATATAGTAATATAAAGACGTAAGAGCGGTCGATCGAAATATAAGTAGCGATACTTTCTATTTTACTAGTGTCGTTATAGTTTAATAAAGAGTTTAGCTAATATATATACTACGCTAAATGTAAATAGAGAATATAGTACTTTATAAATAAGTCTACGAGTGATAATCGTAATAAGACTTAATCTCTCGAAGCGATAACACTAGTAGGCTATAAAAAGCGATATCTCTATCCTTAATCAAATCTAACTAAAGCCTAAGAAATTCCTATCTTTAGATTATTAGATATTATATAAGTATAGTCGGAAATATCTACTTAAGGTCTCTAGATAACTCTAAAACTAGAATAAAGAGGAGAAGGTTCGCTTACGAAAATTATAGATTTAAGAAGTAAAAGATAAGTCTCGAATAGTATTTCCGAAATAGTATAGCTAAACTTTAATAGTGTTACGGGACTAAGATATATACTCCTTACCGGAAGGATAATATCGAGTATGAATATAAGGGCGATAAGGGAAAAGGAATAAAGTCTAGGTAAGTGAAAGAAAAACTTAAGGATAAAGTATTAATTACTTTTATATTATAGTAGTTAAATATTAAGATTATTAAACGAGACTATACTTATACTATACGAAAGCATTAAGAATAACCAGTCTCTAGGCTTCCTACTAGATAAGTCTAACGGCTCTGTCTCTTCGATTATAATTCTAAAAGCGCTAGGCCTTATTAATAAAGAGATTAACGATAAAGATAGTCTATAGGACTATAGTAGAACGATATTATAGAAGTATTATACTATAGGATATTAGAACTACTCTCTTATTCCCGTAACTTTTCTTTAAGAAAATAGACTTCCTAGTGTTTACGAAGATTTTACTTTCACTATTATAGAGAATTAGGAGTAGATAACTTACTTAACCGATTTCTCTAATAGAGAAGCTCTAGAATTAGATTTTCCGGCTATAGCTAGCTATTATATAGTTAACGAGTCTAATCTAACGGTATATTATAATTAGGTAATAGACCTATAAGTGCCTAATAGAATATCTAAGATAATAATATCGATATAATTCTAGAGGTAGAGTAGCTCTATAATATCTTTTTTATTCTAGTACTCTTATTTAGATAGTTTTTATTAGCTAAGGAATAAATTAGACTAAGAATAAATTCAGTTAAATATAAAGAAAGGTTACTATATCTTAAGTTCTAAATTAGAACTAGTATAATTTATAACGGCTTAGCGCGGAAAGCGAATAAGGCTTCCTACTAGGTTAAGTAGAGATAGTAAAACTAGTTTTTATATGAAATATATTTCTATTATTATCTTTAGTAGAGAGTCTCGCTAGCTACTCTCTATTAGTTACGGTTACTTAATCTCTTTTAATAGCTAGTATTTCTAAAATCTATCTCGATATATACTTATAATAGTGATATAAATATAATATTTAGTCTTTACTAATATCGTTATACGTTAATATTTAAGCCTCCTCTAGTAGTTTTCCGTACTTAATATACTAGTCGTTAAGATATTCTCCGATTAGGTCCTATAATAATATATAGACTATAATATTCTAAGTATAGTAAGTAATAAGTACTTATTATGAAGTAGAACGGTTAGTAATTAATATTATTATAGGAGATTTATTAAGAACTCTAGTATTATACTTAACCTTATAAAGATCTAGAATTTAGCTAAATGAAATTAAAAGTCGTAACGATTTACGTAAGTATAGTCGAAGACGTCTAGATATCCTATTAATTAGACTATAGCGGCGAATACTATTAGGATATAAAAGATCGAGTAGGAGCTCTATAGGTCGAACTTACTAGAATATTAACTTTTAGAAAACCTAGTCTTAAAAGTATATATATTAAGGTTAATTTCTTATGTCTAAAAAAAAGGGAGGCTTACTATATAAAACTAAGTCCTAGATAGAAGGTAACCTACTTTTACTAGAGTGTAGGGAAAAGCTTTTCTTATTATCTATAATATACTAAATATACTAAGTCTATAGATTAAGGGCGTAATATCGTATAAACCTATAGCTACTAATATTAACGCTCGGAAGAGGCGATACTTTAAACTCTAGAACTTAGGATATATTATTATAAAGGTTATTAATATCTCGAAAACTCCAATCTAGTAGCTATTAGAATTAAGTACTAGACCTAAGATAAAGGAAATAGAAAAATATATATAGAGACTAACTTATTATAATCTAGTAGATATTATATAATAGAGGCTCACACTAGAAGACTATATATATTCCTAAGATAAGGTCTCCTACTATAAAGATCACTATATCTAGTATATCTAGTCGTAGATAGAAATATTCTACGTATTGAGAGTGATTTATTAAGGTATAGTATATCGTTAATAACGATAGGTATATAACGGCCGCTATTATAAAGATAGCGAAAGTAACGAAATTAGAGCTAGTAACCCTAGAGTATCTTCTAGTAAGGTACTACGGGATATACTACTCGTCGAGTAGGAAGAAAACGGCCGGGATAAGATAAGAATAGATATTAATCGACTCGTTATAGATATAAGACTAACTATAGAACGAAGCGTAAGCCGAGTCTAAGATAGGGCGATAGCTATAGAGAATCTACTAGTTAGATTTATATCGGTACTATTCCGGTATCTTATCGAACGGGAGAAGAACTAGACGTTCTACCTTTCTAGATTTAGATACGGTATTACTAATAGATCCTATTCTTCCCTTTTTATATGTCTCTAGCGGCTATAGAGGTAAAACTCGAAGGCGAGGAGTGGATAATATTTAGTTCTTATACTACTATTCTTTATACTATCTAGATATTCTCGCTAGAGGCTAGCCTTTGATAGATAGGACGAGGCTCTAACGCTAGTTTTATAGAAGCGGCTTTCTATTATCTCTCTTCCTTAAGTAATATCTGCTTTTTACGACTATAGAACTGTTTTAATCTAGTTAATAATAGATAGGATATAGTATAGACGAAAGCGACGTTTCTAATAGAGTACTAGAGATAAGGAGAGAGAGAAAGCTTTAAAGAGCTTTAATTAAGCTTTAGAGACATTTGGAAGACTAAAGAGTCCTAATAGTACTATTTTGATAGAGTATAAGGTAAGAGATAAGAGCTCGAAGAGTAATTTAGGCTCTTTCTAAGATATTTATATCTTTCTAGTTAATATATAGTATTTCTCCTTAATTAGATATAGGAGCTCTTTAATAGTTAGATATAAGAGCTCTAAGAACTATAAGAGATTTATATTATTACGTAGCCGAATTATAGTAAGACTATAGTAACTCTAGATATATTTACTTAATAGACGTTAGACCTAGCTGAGATCTAGCTAAGTCTTTCGGCGTAATATAAGAGCTTCTACTATTATATCGTAATATAGGGATATACTACGCTACTACTTATATCTAGCTACTATACTAATACTACCCTACTAGACGGAGATCTACTAGTGATTTACTACGGAAAACTATAGCTTTAGATTTCCTTCAATCTATTACTCAAGTACGGAGATAGATTAACTATCTATATAGCTTACTACTTATTAATAATAATAGTCTTAAACGTATCAAACCTATTAAAAGATAATTATAAAATCGAACTATAAGCCCCTACGTTAATTATCTTAACGTAGTCTCTAACTTTAATATCCGTAGGTAGATAGAAGAGACTAGGTATAAAATCTAGATTATAAGTCGGCCTATAGAACGAGAACGGTAAATCTGGTTTATCGGAAGGCGGATTGCGAAGGAGTCTAACGAAGAAGCGCTACTTTAAGTGCGTAGTATCGGAGAGAGTACTATACGCGCCGTCGTTAATATAAAGCTCTAGCCTACGCCGCTTCTCCACTCGAATAATAACCGAATAATATATAGCGTATAGCGCTTGACCTAGCTCTACCTATAGCTAGGCTATACGGGTAAGTAGGAGATTACGAAAGGTCTTATTAATCGCTTTCGTAAATTCCGAAAGAGACGGTGTATCTATACTAGGATAGGTAATAGAGAAGCCACTACTAATATTAACGACGTCGATTTAGACTCCGGCGTCGATTACTAAAGTAAAGACTTGATATAATGCGTCTTGATAGTCTCTAGGGTCTATCGCCTAACTTCCTATATAGAAATATATTCCAAGTCGATAAGTCGATTAGGTTATAGTTAGGAGTGATATAGTTACCGCTTTAAGTGATTTCCTTATCGCTTAGAGTAAAGACTTAGCCTCTTGTCCAGAGACTCCAAACTTAGGTGCGAGATTTAGCTTTGTATATCGCGATTGTACCTGGATACGAACGCAAAGGGTTAAATCGGTAGCGCGCTGGGGTACGATGTTGTGGGCCTGGACTGGCTGCACGATCCCAAGGAGGCGGTCAAGATCGCAAGAGGCAGAGTCACCCTGCAAGGCAACGCCGACCCGGGCGTGCTCTACGGCGGCCGCGAAGCCATCACGAAAGTGGTCGAGACCATGGTCGAGGGCTTTGGGGGAGGCAAGCAACGATGGATCGTCAATCTGGGACACGGCATCACGCCGGGCGTCAATCCCGATGACTTGAAGTTCTTTTTCGAAGAGATTCACCGGTGCACTGCATGATCTCTGCAAGGGAAGACAGGCAAAGTCGCCGCCGCTCAAGGCCAGGCCCAGGAGGGCACGGGCACATGAGGGATCTGAGTAGAGGTCCGCCATATGTATCATTGCTCCCCGATATCCTCGTTCCTACAGTCCATAGCAAGGGTTCATTCAGCATGAGGTACCAACGACAAACCAAAAGAACGAAGCGTTACATAGAAGCACCGCCGATCGGTGGAAAAAAAAAAGGAATGAAAGACAAACGTACCAAACACCCGGCTTCTCCTCGATGAACCTCGTCATCAGCTCCACGCACTCGCTGTTCTCCAGCACCACGACCTCCACGCCCCGCGCTTTAAGGTACTCCTCGCCGCCGACGAACGTCTTGTTCTCGCCGATGACCACCCGCGCGATCTTGTAGAGGATGCACGCGCCCGTGCACATGTCGCAGGGCGAGAGGGTCGTGTACATCGTGGCGCCCGCGTAGGCGGAAGCCGGCAGACGGCCCGAGTTTTCGAGCGCGGAGATTTCGCCCTGCAAAGAGACGCAAGGAGGGAGGTGTGGTGTTCAGTACGGAAAGACGTCTTGTTTGTATATCGAGCGAAAAGGAACAGGGAGAGGAAGAGAAAGTGAGTGAGAGTGAGAGAAAGAGGGACAGACTTACATGTAAAGTGGCGCTCCCCTTCTGCACGCGCATGTTGTGTCCGCGACCGAGGATCTTGCCGTCCTTGGAGACGAGGCAGGCCCCTATATTAAATACATATCTCGCCTCAGCTCTTGGTTCAATCTTTTTCATGTTTGCGTTGTGCTTCTTCGAGCAGAGCAGTGAACATTCCTTCCTTTCCCTCACGATCTCTCTCTCTCCCCCTCTCTCTTTGTCATGAACGCTGGGGATGGAACAGCGATCCATAGCCCAACCTAGCAGGAAGGAAGGAAGAATAGTAGTGCCAGCACAATTGCACCACGTACGTACCTATCGGGACGCCTCCCTCCGCAAACCCTTGTCGAGCCTCTTCCACAGCGGCAAGGAAGCCGGGATCTGTTTCTGACATGCTTGTCGGGTGTCTGTATGTATTGGCGAAAGGCCTTGGTGGGAAGGGGAGATTCGGTGCGGCGTGTACCTGTGTGTGTGTCTGGGGGAAGGGGGAACAAGGAAGGGGGGAGACAGTTATATGCGGAAGTTCAGGCAATCCTCTATAATTATGTGCTCAGTCTGATCCAAGATGGGGGAAAAGATGTGTGAGAGATTGTGGGAGAGAAGTAAATGGCTTGGGCTTGGGAGCTGGGAAGTCCGCATCGCGATATCAGCCTCGCCTCGCGCTCCTCCGATAAGTATATGAGCAATATAATGTGTGTGACAAGTTTATTCGTGAACTTTACTAGTGGACGACGATGAAGAGATCGTATCCTCTTGCAATTGATTCTTTGCAGAGAGACAGGCATGGAGATAAATAGAGACTCCTTCTACCCCTGCAGGAAATCTCCGGCTGCCTTCCTCCACGCCATCAGCACCTTCAACTCCTCACCCCCGTACCCTCCCTCAATGTCGTCTTTGATGTCAAACGCCCCTTCGGGCATGATGGCAAATGCTCGGCCTAGAGTAGACACGGATGTGCCCCGAGAGGTCAGACTTGCGGACCAGAGAAGAAACACCGTAGAAGATGGGAGAGACGATACCACATCATAACAAACACAGAAAAGCATGGGAGAAAATGCTTACCATGCAACGTCTCGTCGAGGGCAATCCGCCCCACCGCCTGCGCACACGTCTCCTTGCTCGCGAACGTGATTCCTTTGCCGTCCTCGATGCCCATTCCCTGCAGGGCTTCGACGATCGGTGCCGTCATGGGCGTCTTGATGGCCCACGGCGCCACCAGATTGACGCGGACACCCATCTCGTCGCGCACCCGGCGGCGCAAGGCGCGGAAGAGTCCCCTCGTGCCAAACTTGGAGGTCGTGTAGGCGATGCTGTGGTCGTCATCCAGGTAGCCTGCCAGCGAGGAGATGAAGACCAGAGCCTTGGTGACGGACGAAGAAGGGGGAGGTTGTGGCCGCTGGAGCTGGAAGTAGTGCAGCGCCAGGGCAGCAGAGTAGTAGGTCCCTTTCAAATTGATGTCGAGGCACTGGAGCGAAGGGGCCACAGGCGGTAGCAATCGTCCCTCGAGTGTCACTTCCTGGCCGCTGCCGGTGGTAGCTTTAACGTGGTCAATGAGATTCTCCATCGGATCGACGGCAGCAAATGTGGTCACAACGTCGATGGCCTTTGCCGGCGAAAAGGACATGGCCTGCTGAAACGCCGCCGCTTGACTCTCCCAGTCGCTTACATTGCAGCGCACGTACTGAACGTGCTCGCCTGGTCTGGTGAGGATGCTCTCGTCCAGCGGAGGCTGGACATCGGCAATGGTCACGTACGCGCCTTTGGAGGCGAATAGTTGTGCCGTCTCCAGTCCCAGACCGGATGCGCCGCCCGTCACCAAGACGCACTTGTCTTGGAGACCTGCAAGGTCGATTGGAGGGAGAAGGCTGGTCATGCTCGGGGCCGTGTTGATGGGATGGTCACAGGTCGCCGGCGTCACACAAGGCGCCCCTAGATAGAACCAGAGCAGTCGGCAAGCAGATAACGGCCCTTTTGGTTGGTAAACGTTAGAACAAGGAATCCGATATAGAGTTATCGCCTGCTTGTTATATAGATTTCAGCTTTGAGCTGGAAGAAGCAGCCCCAGGTACCATTACCGTTTCAGCTGATGCCACCTACAAACTGAGCCATCCGATAGCCATCTAGACTAGACCCGAGGTTGGACCAGACCAAGGTTTCTCGGCGCAAGGTGGCGGCCTTATGGACGAGGTCAGTTTATCACTTGCGTGACTGAGAGACACGGCGGCCTAGCCAATTAGGTGTGATTGTTTTCTGCCAAGCATACATACATAATGAAGCAGAAGTCACTGTTCGGATCCAGTAGCTATTTACGCGATCAATGTGACTATGCTCGCATATCATTCTTCCAAACGCGTTGTGCAGCCTCATTCCGATCACCGAGATACCATTCTACTTCCCTTCTCCATCAACCCGTGTACAGTTGCCTGATGAAGAGTCTCATCGAGTGGAGGAAAGAGGCCGATCGGGGCTGAGATCTTGTACCCAATGCAGGAGTTTCGGTATGTGGATACTCTAGAATGCTAGCACAGAGGCTGATGCTCTATCACGCCAGCCCAAGAGGCCGTTCGAGCTCTTTCCGAAAGCCTCATGTTTCAAAATTGACATCTTATCATCGGACTTCCTCAGCAGAACCACCATGTAGCCGAGATCCAGACGGAGTCTTTCAAACCCCTGAATCTTTGCGGACCAAGGTATTTAACGAAGTCAGGGAACAGCTGAGCCATCGTGGAATCGACACAAGAGCCATCCCCGAGTCTTCGATGAATTTATTCCTTCCCCAAGCATATGATTGTGAGGGCAGAAGCGAAATCTTCCGGCGTTTTCGTTCAAACCCCATCACCGTATCAGACAAAGAGTTGGCACACATCTTCCGCATCAAAAAATGTAACGACACAGACCCGCTTCAAAAGGGACCAGTCTGCTATTATCGAACATGGTGCACAACTACACAGAAGCTTCAGGATATTATTGGGCGCTTCGAAAGTGATGGCCATGAGTTTCCGCAGCTTGATTCTTGGAAATTACAACTCAGAGGCTTGCGTAAAGATCAACGGGTCTGGATTAGGTATGTTGGGCAGACTGTCTATTCAAACCCATTCCAAAGACACAAGAAAATAACAGGCCGCGAGTGTCGGGTAAGTATTCTGGAGGAGTTCAAGCGACTGCACGCCATGTTTGACTGGGAGTCGTCTCAGAAACGTCGTGTTTACGCTCTCCTCGACACGGATACAAGTTGGGTAATCGAACGATTCGGATCAAATGTCAGTACCAAAAGCAGTGCAAGAATCACCGACTCTTTTGAGCGATTTTTGATTGCGCTATTTGGATCTTCATCATTACTCAATACGCAGCCTGGAGGTCGCAGGCTGGATTTCATTCCAAGCAGGACTGAATTAGCATTGTTGAGCAATAGCAGTACTGCAGTAATGCAGAAGATCTCAGAATCAGTCTTGACAAATGCGAACGAGCACATCAAGTTACGGTTGTCCGCAATTGCCGAAACTATCTGCGACTGGGTACGCGACGAGGTTCCTGAGAATAAGCTGACAGAGGCCAATCTGCAACACGTCAAAACGCATTATGTGAAGCAAGCTTCTAGTGATCTTCTACACGGCTTCTGCATATCTGCGATTGTTGGAGATACGGTGACAGAACAAGCTATTCGTGAAAATACCGGATTTTTTGACGGAGACTCAGCAACACAGGAGCTTCTCAGGAGTTACCTTGGAGAATGCGTCGATTGTGAAACGGACTTTGCGTCAAAGCATCTGGACGATCTACTACGTCTGGTCTCCTTCGCCAACGTTTTTAATTGGCGCCACAAAGCTTCGCGCAAGGCAGACCTCAACGCAAAGGTAGGTCAGATATATTCGAAGCTTCTGAACTTCAGGGGTTGTCATAACAACGCTAATGTCTCTTATACCAACACAGAGAATGCTACACTCATACCTAGGCACCGTCGAGCCTTTACTGACAATCACGCTTAGTGAGCGAAGCTTGTCTAACTGCCTGCCTTCGCCTTCAAGGTGCGTGGTTCATGATAATAGCAGGAATATGTACTAACAGTTCAGGAACCTGATTCGCGAAGTTGGCAATGCTCGAATCGTATCTGTCGGAAATGCTCCACAATCAACTTCTACCATCATTCTGCCACAACATCATCCTGGCTACGATGCACGGACAGATCAATCGCCCAAATACCGTCGCCTCTATTTCTTATGCTGGATTCACGTTTGGGTTTACATGGATGCAATACTGACGGTTCTTACGTCAATGCGACCGCCGAATTTGACCTTGCACCGATACGAACTGTGCCAGAAAATTATGGCATGCGCAGAAGCTAGACTTGATGCTGTCCAGTTTAAGAACGCTTTGCGAAAGGCCAAAGAAGAATTTACGGAGCATTCGGAGTTGCGCAACAGACTCAGGATGCAATCAACCGACGCGAAGAAGAAGAGCAGCGAAAAGAAGCGCGGATTTTCAGAATCCACAGGGCATCCGGATCTTGAATCGTGGCTCGCGCACATTGCTGAGAAAAGTTCATATCTAAAACGATTAAGACATCTTAGCTCCACACTTGCAAACCCCAGGAGTCGAGACCGCATAAAATGGGCTGAGAACAAATGGAAAGATCGCGAAAGCGACCTCAAACGAGAGTTCCCAACATCCTCGAGACGCGACTGGATATCTTTCGCTGTAGATCTGCCGACGGGCTACTATACTGCGGTCTGCATTGATGCGTCAAAAGACATTACCGGTCTTCCGGAGGCAATTCAGGATCTCTTTCGCACGAAAGCGAAAGAGAGAAATATCGGCCTGGACAACCTGACCACCAAGGCTAAGCGCGATATTCTTGAATCTATTGCACAGGAGATGGTGCAAGACCAAGCTGATCATAAGAAAGCCAAAAACCGCAAAAGAGACGAGTACAAGATCGGTACGTTACGCGGGGTCGACTTTGGTACCTCGACTGGAAAATCACGTTTCACCTGTGAAGGAGTAGATGGGTCAAAGCGAAAGATCGTCTTTCCCAACAGCTGCAGCTTGCTTCGACATCAATCGCAGTTCAGCAGACGCATGTTTGAATTTGATGAAGCTGGACTCAACGTCAAGGATGAACACGGAAAGGTGTTATATCCTCCAGACTCACCAAAATCCGGCGTGAGCATCCCCATCAACCAGCTCGAAGACTTCGCGGAGAACCTGAGGTGGTTTTGGGAGCAAGGATTGGCTGCGACTAAAAACGACGGTTTCGGTGATGGAAGATTTGTGGGAGATGAACAGGACCCCTGATGCCGGTCTTTTGGGATAAGGAGACGCATGGCTTGGGGAACCGTTGGCGCGCCTTCGCATCGCTACAGGAATTTCTGATGTCTGCGATCAAGCATCTCCTCACACTCCCAGTGGCAGTCTGACGAGTTTGCTCAGTGTATGGTACGGACACCCATGACAATCGCCTGTTTGGCACAACGACTCTCCGGTCAAGTTCTCGATGATCGAGCACGATTGTAGACTATGAAGTGCAGACTGCCCTTACCCTAGGTAGATACCGAGTACTCCGCGAGGAGATTACCAGTTTTCCAATTCCCTTCATAAATCCACCTGGTAGTCATGTTACTCTCCCATCGGGTCTTATTGCTGGACCACATCAAGAACAAACAAGGCGATTGACGCAAGAGAATAATAGGCGATACACAACGACAAACGATGACGTCCCTCCAACCAGGGCATCGGGGGCTCCGAATACTCCAACATGCGGGGAACTGCACCCAACGGCTTGGCAAAATTAAACGAGTCTATATATTTTGCAAGCCCCAAATCTTGGGAAATTTCTGCCGGGAGGATGGCCGAGTTTGGTTATGGCGTGTGACTCAAGAAGCTTTGCATCAAAAGTTCTTGGCCTTCTGGTTAACAGGGGCTTGTTTTCTCATGGGGAAACCCGCGTGGGTTCGAATCCCACTCCTCTCAATCTTGATAGAAGTTCTTGCCTTCTTTTTTTTTTGGACCATTCTATCTCCTCTCTCACTCTCTCCTATTTTCCCCCTTTTCTTCTCTCGGGTTTCGTTATTATTCGTGCGAAAGCCGTATGGAAAGCCTCAAGGGCTGAACACACTCCGACGCGCAATGGATAGGTATTTTCGTGTGTGTGGGAAATGACAATATGCGAGTCGACTTATGTTTCACAAATTACTATTATTCAGAGCCGACAGAGCCCCCTGTCTTTGCACCCCATAGATGAGGATCAATCGCATACGGTCCTTCCTTGGTGCAAGTTAGGCCGGTGCAACATTCAAGGTATGGGGTGAGGGTTGCTATGATACATACAGGAAGGCTGTGACATTGCCCACCTGGCACTCCTGTGATATCAATGGTACTCGGTCATGGAATTGTTCCTCTTGGTTGCGCGGCCACATCTGGATTGAAAACCTGGTCCTTCCATTGAGCCTCAAAGGCCTCCCGGGCAGCCTGCATCGACTCAGCCGCCTCTACAATCGTAAGTAGTTCATCCCCCGATATGGTCAGGGTCACCGATTGAAGATCCGCATGGTGTTTCACCTCTCCACCAGGAGCGAAGTCTTCAAGCGACAGAGACAGTGCGACTTGAGCGTGGGGACTCTTGACACCGTCCTGGCTTCGGATTTCCTGATCGATACAGTCAGTGATAGAATCCATCAGGCGGGAGATCGCGTCAACTCACCACGTCGTCGCGGGTGACGCGGTCGAACTTCCCGTCCTCCGCAAATTTGGCTCTCCAGACCGAGACGCGTACCGCTCCCATCGCCATCGGATAATCGAGGTCGATGGTAATGACAGTTCGGATTTGACCATTGGTCAACTCGATGTATTCTTGTGCAAGGGATTCCAGAGCCTGTGAAGTCTGCGAGGCCGCGACTTCGCCAATCAAAACTGGGTATCTAGGGTGCTTCCGGCTTGTCACAGAACAGTTGGGTTGACGCTCTGTCTCGCCCCCACCGCCCCTGGACGGATAATACAGACCACTGGAAAGGGTGGGGAGGAGAGGCGATGCAAATTCGGCAATGGACGGTTCGAGGTGCTTCTGGGCCTGTCGAACGAATGCCACGAGACGCTCATTGAGACCGGAGAGAACGATTTCGTGTCTGCTACCGGCCATTCTGAGCGTCAGCGTTTCGTGGTCGCGGTCGGGGGAATAGTCATATCTGCGGGTCTAGGAGTCAGCGATTTTGTCGGGCTGTCAGGCCGTTTCCGCACCAAAGGATACAGAGGAACACGCACTTCAACTTTTGGTCAGAGAATTCACCACCGGCCTGCACCAAATCCTGGAATTTTTGGAATTGCTCGACGGGGAGGCGGAATTCGATTCGGTCAGGCACATCCCTGGTGGAGTGTCGCGTTCGGAGCCAGTCCACGACTTGTCGCAGTTCAGGCTCGTAGTGCTCTTTTGGAGATGCAGAGCCCGAGTCAGGTGACGGTGGCGCGTCGGCCGTCGTGCTGGATTGTTTGCCATGGACAAGGAGTGAATCTGGGTCCGAAGGGGTCATGAAACTGCCGTTCATGTCAGAGCGACCCGCAGCGATTCTCTCGGCCAGACTCTGTCGGAGCGCAGAGGTCGGAGAGGGATTATGGCGTGAGACTTACGACTCCTGCCCAGCCATCATCAAACGTTGGACCTCAAAATACCGCGTTGTTGTTGTGATTCAGAAAGTGCTTGTCGGACGAGGACTGTGAGCGTTTTATACGAATTCACCGGGCAGCGGGCCGGTCAGTCCAACAGTCCAACTTCGGAATTAATTAAAGCAGCGACATTTCCTTGGGGAGGCGAGCCTCTGGAAGAAGACGAACCCTCGAGATGACGACGAGGAAGCCGTCAGCTCAAACATGGCTGATTTTGTCAACAAGGATACGGCGACGGGTACCACTGTGTATAAAACAAGAGTATATATCACCTAGGAAGTAGTATCTCGGCGCGGACCAATCAGAATAGCTTCCGATCATCAAATCCCCGTTTATTGGTTCCATTGGCTGGAGGCACCGGGGCGACGGCATCTCTACCGAGTACTTCTATACCCGACGCCCGTCCTCGAACGTATATCTGTATGCTTGTTACCATATGTTCAGGAATTCAAAAACCCCGAACATCAGCCTTACGACCCAAGACAAGAATCATGGGTTGAAACGGCGGCCTCTCTTCCAAAAGGTAAACTTTAGCACGATAATGAGGAGCCACGAGAGGCAGTCCACCAGACCTCTCAGATTGAAACGCCACGAAGACGGAGGAACCATTCACGCAAACGGCACGAAAGCATCGTATAGCAGTGGTCATCTACACCGCCCAACACATTCTCAGACGTAAGGGATGTTCATTCATGTGGGTATTATCTATCTCTCCTGGCATAAGACGTATCTTGTCTTGCTCGCCTGGACGCCTGTTCTCCAGTCCCCTAAACCACTATCCGCTAAACAGCAGCAAGACCTCTTTGCTAGACGGAAGTCTTCGACAATTTGTTCCAGAAATGAACAAAGACATCGAGTTGGAAAGGTAAATGCACAAAAAGATCAAGCCCGGACACACTACGTCCATAGCTGTCGACGATACCATGCTCCATCGTAAAAGTACATGTTCTAAGGCCATGGTGAAGCCCATCTGCAATGGTCATCTGATCGAAGACGCTGTGAACCTGAAAGAGATACCGAAGATTGGGGTTTTAAAAAGCCATGCCCGAGCCAGGCCCTAGCTTCGACGGCCCAGCAGGAGAGTTGCGCTTCTCCCTGACGTTGCTGGCAGAGTTGCTTCTTGGTCGATTTGCTGCGGCCATTGGTGGTGGGCCGCCACGAACACCGTATGGTCCAGGAGACATGCTTCGACCCGGTGGTGGTCCCCTCCTTGGACCTGGAGACATGGCTCTCGGTCCTTGATTGAAGCCTGGGCTCATCGGTCGTCGCATTCCAGCTGGGCTCATCCTTCCGCTGGGGCTCATAGGTCTTCCCATGGGGCTCATAGATCTCCCAGCGGGACTCATAGGTCTCCCAGCGGGGCTCATAGGTCTCCCTGCAGGACTCATTGGGCGCTGAGGACCCATACCGGCTCGGGGACCACCAGCAGGGGACATGGGGCGGGAGCCCGGTCCTCCGGGAGGTGGTGGGCGAGCATATTGGTTGAGATGAGATGGTTTAGGCTTGGACGGTTTGGCGGCGAGGCATGTTCGGGGGACCACACCTTGCTGAGATCGATCGAGTCGGATGCAAAGCGCCTAGGAGTACATTAGTTTACCTGTCGAATACAACGCAAATATTGTCACTTACCCATCCATCATCGTATTCGTGCAGCAACCGAACCAGCTGACCATTCTTCAACTCAAGTTCGTCGTCCATAGAGGGCGTGAAATCCATAAGAACACGGTAGACATTGCCTTGAGGCGATTCGGAACCAGGACCGGTGGCGGAGGACAGAGCTGGAGATGCAGGTGCCGAAGAAGCTGGAGAAGAACTCTGCTTTGATGTAGGCCGGCCAAGGGGAGCGGGAATGGGGACAGGAGCCGGAGCTGGAGCCGGAACCGAGGCGGTTGCAGAGGCCGGGAGAGACACTGACTCCGGGGCTGGGGCCGACGAGGGAGCTGGAGCTGACACAGAAGGTGCAATAGAAGCTGTGACCGGGTTGGGAGCAGATGCAGCAGATGGACCTTCCCGCGGCGCAGGGGTTGCTTTGGTCTCGGCGATCGGAGCAGGCACGGCGGCAGTCGAGGGCGGCGGGACGAAGCTGTTCCGCGAGGCCAAGACGTGGGTCTACAAGTACCCCGAGGAAAGCAAGGTGTTGCTGCGCAAGATGGCCGCCATCTGCGTCGAGTACCTCGCCTTGCAGGTCGCCGCGGGGGCGCAGATTGTGCAGGTCTTCGACTTAGGTAGGTCTGGGTGCGCAGGCTAACGTCGAGACATGCAGGACAGAGACCTCCTCTTTTCCCTTTTACGATTTCTCGTTGAATCCATGATAGACGCGTCGAGACTCGAGAGCAGCCCGTGTGGATACTGATCCCTTTTGCCCTCTTTTCCCCCTTGACCGCACCAAGATCGATTTGCAGGCTCGACGGGCTCGATGAGGAGGGGGAGAGAAGGTTCGATCTCTGTAATCTCCGCCGCCGGATGTGATTCGAGAGGTATCGCCAGAGGGCTTTCGGAGGCGCTGGCCAGTCTGTTGCAGATGTCGATTGAGGGGCGCAGGAGGATGAACTGTGTGGCATCTGGACCGGGGGCTGACTGGGCAGGTAGTCGACTTGGAGCAACCTCCAGACATACGAGCATGCAGCACCGTGTTGCGTGTTGCAGACGGCATCGCCCATTGTGGCCAAAGTTTGCATGCTGGGCTGCAGTCAGAACGACTAGTGGGCTAGCGTAATGATCGCCGGAGCGCCGTTGATGACCTCTAGGCGTTTCGAGTTCAAACTCTGTGGTGGGCCGCTGGAGGTGTTTGGGAGGGCAGTCAGACCCTGGTCGCGACCCAGCAGGTCCCGGCAGGCTCCAGTAGGGGCCACACGCCCACCGTGCCTATTCGTCGGGGGGTGGTTCTGCTGGAAATTACAGGGATTCCCACGAGACGCGAGAGGTCAGTGCGCCGCCTCTTCCCACCTCTCTCCCCCAAGAGCATCCCAGAGCATCCAAGAGCATCCCAGGAAACCCCTCCAGAAGTTTATTCGGGGGGAGAACAGAGCGACACCAAAGGGGGGTTAAACGAATTACCCGCATCCGAAGTCTGTAGAGATTCGTAACTGCTAACCACCTAATACCTGCAATGCAGTTTGCTGCCTGTGGAGGTATACGGGGGGGGTCGTACTGGTAACGTGTTTCTGGAGCTATGCGACCGCATGCGACTGCATGAAGTTTCTCTCCTGAGCATCGCCTGATGTCTGACTATTGACCGTTGTAGCCCACCGTCCTCGGGCGACAGGTTCCTTTGTCCTGGTCTGCGTTCACCGATCTGGTCCTTCGGGAGAGCGGTGTTGGGTATCTTTCAGCTGAGGTCGCGCAGGAACCAAGGCGCGGCAGTTACGTCGCTGTCAGACGGTCGTTCCGCTTCTCGATTATGATTGTTGTCTTTGCCCATCACTCTCCCCGCTCGTAGCCAAAGTCATGTCGATACAGAATGATAATAAGACTGCTCCTCGTTGGTGAGCATCCCGCCACGGACGCGGACGGGGACGAGTCATCAGCTCCAGCCAGTCCCGTTCCTCTTACCACTTCGTCGAACTGCGACCTTTCTTCAGCCGCCATCGCACAATTATAATCCCGTCGGTTGCTGGTCTGGGTTATTTTCCCCTGGAGTTGTTATTCCTGGCCCTTTCTTTGCACCTGGGACCCCGGCCTCATCATCCCAGCCCTGTACTAGTAGTAGCCTGTATGATCTTTTCCAATTCACTCATAGAATCGAGACTGAAGACGCGTATACGGTGGAAGAAGTAGGCTTCTCGAATAGCTTCCTAAGCTTTCACTGGATTCATAAAACATAAGGTAGCTACCGGTAATATATAGGATACATATCGTGCTTCGGTAATAGATATAATATCAAACTAGATGACGCTATTCTCCTAAAGTATCCGCAATAAGTTAGGGTAAGGATTCGATTTCACCGCGTACATTAGTTAACCCGTAAATAGTGTTATAAACTGCTTCGCTATATCCGCTACTACTTTTAGATGAATAATAGTTATAGAATAGGGCGAATCGAGCTTCTAAGTTATTTATAAAGTATCGCTAAAAGATCTATATTCGGCGGATCCGTAGTGCTATTCATTTAGTTAAGAAGCTAAGATATAGATAGATTTAGGCGAGGTAGCTTCTAAGAGGGGACTATTTAATGCTCTCTCGTCTTTAAGGTCTGTCCATTTTATAATAGAGTCGTTCTACTCTATATAATTATTCCTACTAAGTTGCTATCCTAATAGTAGGCGAGAGGAAGCGAAGCGATAGAAACGGATATCTACTATATTTAAAGTATAACTCGGAAACTCTTCTACTTTATTCTAAGAATCTTATTATTTAGGGGTGATTAATCTATTTAATTATTGCTCGGAATAGTATTATAATAATAATATATATTTCTATTCTCTATCGTACGAGAGGTTTTATATTAGTGAAATTAATTATTCTATATAAATTTTATGATTTAGAATAGTATATTATTAATTAATCTTACTAGTGAGAACGGAGAGATTAATAAAAGCGTCTTTTCTTACTTTATTATACTATAGAAGACTTCGGACTTAGTGGGGTCGAGAAAGATTTCGAACTCGCGAACTAATTTCTAGCTTATACCGTCCGCGAATATCTCTATCGGTTCTAGTATTATAGTCTAGCTAAGAAGATTACTCTATCTATTTGACTATCTCAATTCTTCCGCCTAAGGGTACGTTAAAATCGTAGGAGATATTATCCTACGTTATCGCTACGAGTAAAATATAGAAGATAGTTAGTAATACTCTCTTAATCCTTATATAAGTTATAATACGTGAAACTCGAGAACGGCCGAAACTAGGCTTACTTACGATATCGTAAAGGTATATATAATAGACTTAATAGTTTTCTTAAGGATAGATTAATAATATAGTAGACTAAAGCCGTAGCTAATAATATCGGTAAGAATCGAGTAGGGTAGTCGGGAGAACTATATATCGCTATTACTAAAATTAGCGATAACGCTACTAACGATATACGATAACTAATTAGGAGATTACTAGACCGATTATTACTCAATTCCTCGCCTTTATATATTATTTTTCTTAAATAATACCTATTTTAGTCCTATCCTCCGTTAGAATACTTTAGATACTATATAAGTCTAATAGGATAATCTTATATTCGGGCCTATACTATAGCTCTATTCTATTTACCGACTTATATTAATACTCCTATTCCCCTTATATATTAGTTATTATATCTATCTAAGTTATATTAGTATATTTTCCGGTATATAGAAATTAAATCGAAAACTTAAAGGACCGTCGCGATAAATATCTAAGACCTTACTAAGTACTAAACTTATATAGTCTCAAATCTATAGTAGTACTCCGTTTAAAACTATCTCGAGTTCGTATTTAATTATATCGCTCTAAGTTAGAATTCGGATTAGTAGATTAAGTAATTAGCGAACTAGATTTCCCGTTTAGTATATAATATTAGTAAGTCTTATATAGTATAAGACCCTTACGCTTACGTTATAACTATAATAGATAAGAAGATTCTATACCCGTAGTATATTACTATAAGTTCGTCGGTAAATTAGGTTTAACTATGGATTTTCTTTTATATCGCGGGCGTTAATCTAGATCTAATTCTTAAAAGCTTAACTTATATCGAGTTCCGTAAATAGCTAGCTAATAAACTTATCTTAGCTATAGATAATATCTAGATTACTTAGTAGTACCGGTAAGAAATCGACTCTATCGGCTATTAAGGCCTAATTTATCTCCCTACTCGGAATATTAGTCTTAATCTTATAACTATCTCTAGGTTTAATTTGATTTATTTCTCTCGTTAAATTCCTAATAGTATAGATAATACCTCTTTTACTAATTCCGACGGTAATAATCCGCTTTAGATTAGAGTCGAGTTTCTAAAGTCTAATAGAGATCTCGCCTTCTAAGATATACTTATTAAACTTCGTGCGAGACTTATATTACGCTTTTATAATTACCGTTTCGTTTATAGATACTAATTCGATATTCTTTCTTTTCGTCTACTCAAGCGATAGACCTTATAATAGTTAGACCTATCTTTTAACCTTTATAGTAGAAGATAGACTTCTAGAATCGCCGGTACTTAAAAGAGACTATAGTTCTAATACTTAATCTAAGTCCGAAATTAAGTCTAAGTAGGATCTTATAACTATAATTTAATCTAGACTCTTAACCGGTATCTATAGAGCTAGTCGTCCGATTATCGCTATTAATTTACTTCTTTTAGAATCTTCTCTAGATTATAACTCCGTTACTTTAGTCTTAGATTCCTCTATAGGAACTCTATCGATAGTAATACGAAATATAATATCTTCGGAGTTATAGATATCTAAGAGTACCTTTAGGTAATACTTTCTTATATATTGTATATCTCGATTTCTAACCGCTCTAAACTACGCCTAACTTTTTTAATTTAACGCCGAGTATTAGTAAGGTTCAACTTAGATATACTAGATAATAGAACGAAGATTCTAGTTTAATAAGGCTTTAAGAAAGTTAGTAAAATATAGAACTAGCGGCTATTTAGTGATATAAGGAATATAGTCGTAAGCGGGAGAGTATCTTATAGAGGAGACGAGAGAGCGTAGTAAGAGAGTTAATAAAGTATACTTATACTTTAGTGCTTCTTATTTACTATCGTTATTTAGACTTAGATAACTATTACTAGGTATTATTATAGTATATAGAAAGTATTATAAGATTTTAGGGCCTAAATTTATAGCTATTCTTAAAGGATTATCTATCCCCTTTTTAAGTGGAGAACTAATATCTATCTCGATAATAGTTTTCTATTTATAACTTTCCTTAAGGGACGTACTTACTATAAAAAAGTAATACTTTAGTATTTATAGGATATATAGACTATAACTTTAGTTAGATATACTAGTTAAGATAACTCGTACTAATTAGAGACTTCTAAAAGAAAAGAATCCTAGTTTCGTAAGGCTTATACTTCTCAAATCTTAAGTAACTTACTTATATTAAGAAGAACGGAAGAGTTTTAATCGGGAAGTAATCGTAGGAAATTAAGAATAGAGCTTAACTACTACTTCGGATAAGCTAGTGTTGCCGGTAAGGTATCGGACGCTGATTTATCTATAATTTCTAGTATAATCCTTTAAATAAAAAGAGTCTCCTTAAAAGAATCGCTTACTAAGGTACTTAAACTAGAGTAATCTTGAGGATTCGCTATAGAGATATCCTATTAGCTTCGTAGGCCTCTAGAACGTATAGAGATATATCTATCTTAATAACTCCTTTCCCGAACACTACTATATCGGAGTAACTTAATAACGTCTAGCTTAGACTAAGATTATAAAGGAACTTAATAGCTTTTAGAAGTTATTAATAAAATCTAAGCTTCTAATCGTAGTCTTAGATAGTAGAGCTTATCTAGAATACTACTTCTACGAGTTACGTCTCGCTTAGATAGAACTTAGGCTTCTTAAATTCAACTAGCGATATATCGTCTAGCTTAAATACTATAAAATATACGTTATTATCTAAAAATATATCGTAAATTCGAATAAAGTTCTCGTAATAGATCCGCCGTAAGAGTTCTATCTTATTCGCCCCGTAGAAACTTTTAATAGTCTATAATTTAGATTCGTTATCTAGCTTAGTTTCTATAAGACCTTTCTTCCGTTAATAGATATCTAGACTACGTTCTAGAACTAAGCTAAACCTTTTAATATATACTTTCTACGGACTATCTTTATTTACTCGTTAAAGATAACGTAACTATAAGTTCTTAGCTTAGGAATCGTTATTATATCTTAGTAGAGCTTTTAGACTAGGATTATCTTTTAAATAAAACTAGGATTGAAAACCTCTATCGAACGGTAGGATAGTATATCTATTTTCCGAACGGTATAAACTTATCTTTAGAGAGAGGAGTAGATAAAGATTATTATACTTAAATTAGGCTTTAATATTAAATTAGATTAATAGAAGCTTTAGTAGGTTAAGTACTATTTATATTTAGCTTATCTAGAGAACTCGGAGCTCTTAGTACTCTAAAAAACCTAGACGAGATAGTCTATAATAGAATAATCCTTAAACTCTTAGAGAGGGACGGAAGATATAGTAAAATAATATTATAAACTTATATTAACTTATTCTAAGTACGACTATACGAGGATAGAAGTACGAGTTTTCGTAGTACGATATTAGTAGAACTAGACTAATTAATATTTAATAAATTACTATCCGAGGAGATATCGACTAAGGAGAAGACATCGAGTAACACTATAAGACTTAAAAATATATTTAGGACTTAAGGATATCTTCTACTAGAGCCGGAAAATCGAATTATAGTAGTAATCTTAGATAAATTTCTAAAGACGGTATTATAGATATTAGCTTCTCTCACTTAATAAATACTTCTCGAAAATTCTAACGGCGTCCTACTTATATTAAAATTTCCCCTAGTACTAGCTACACTACCTTAAGAGCCGGTTACGTATAGAAGTCGGAAAGCTAGTTTTATTACTAAGTAAGCGATAATAGGCTATAGATTTATATATTAATAGTATATTAAAGGCTAGGAATTGTAAGTCCGAAACTTAATATATTAGATACTAGCGTAGACTTGAAAATAATCTTAATCGACTAATATACTAATTAGCGCGTATTTAGCGACTTAGAAGTCTTTTATAACGTATAAGAATATTATAAAGCGGGTAATATTTTCGCGGAAGGGCGTTAGAGAGCTAGACTTTCTCTAAATAGATAAAGATATCTAAAATAGTTAGAGAACTATAAGATTTTACTTACGGCTCTTAATAAAGTTCTAATAATACTAGATTAGCGATTTAGATTTACGCTATCGATATAGTACGAGACTATCACTATAAATAGCCCTAAGATTAACGTACTCTACTTTGATTTCTAATAAAGAAGATTAACTGAATTATATTCTAGAAATTTA